AGATTGTTTAGGAAGAATTTGGTTAATAGAATTCCAAACCTACTTAATAGCAAAATTACCATCATTAGAAAAATTAAACAGAATGAAAACCGCTAGATCTAATACTACTAAAATTATACTATTTATTCAATTTTAGATCTACACAAATGAAAACCATTAGACTCAATTCATGTTTTCCTTCAACTCCATCTCTAGTTTTATCAACAACAAGAATAAAATTAGCAAAAAACATACTAGAGTACATCATCTTGCAAATGTCTAATAATAACATCCATGACCAAAGAAAAAAGATATGAGCATAACACTGATCTTTGTAATTGTTTCTTTAATGAATGCGTACGCCCCGCCGTGAGTTTTCCCTTAAAAAATACTAAAATAAGAAAATAATTGGTCAAACTACCTTGTGTTTAAACACAAGTAACAACTGCTGCATACACATCATTAATGACATGAATATAAGTTAACTCTTTTATTTTCAAGAACTCTCCATAGGTTTTTTTTTTTTTGAAAATGTATCAAAATGCTCTCTAAATTAAGAAATATCATATGTAAATCCTTCTTATTTTCTTTATACTTCCTCATCAAATCCCTCAAAATATATAAATTCCATAGTAGACCTACCCAACTTGAATCATGATTTTTTTTTTAATCATGATTGATTTTGAGAGATATCAGTATAATATCGTAACCTATTCACAATTACCTTCCCATAGTTTCATTTTATAATACATTAACTTAAATCCTCTAGTTATATATTTTTGATAATAAGAACCAACACACACATCTTCATAAACATTAAAATGATATTAAAAAGGTGGATAATAACAATGCAGTTGCCAAGTCTCAAGACCTAGATAAAAAATGTGAAGGATTGCATTTGATAGTCGATAACCAATGTAAAACTTATCGAACAATTATGACAAAAAAATTGGTAAAATATAATTTTAAGGATCTATATAATAACAATTTTTCAAGTTAAAACAGGAAATGAAAATAATATCTGGAATAATATGCACTAGTCCTCCGTTCAAAAGGGAGAAGCTGTAAAATTATTAAGTTTATAATCAATATTTTTAAATCATTAGAGAACTAAATGTTCCATTACAATCAGATCTAGACGTCCATAACTGATCAGCTTATTCACAGAAGAAGAAAGACGTCAGTTCAAGTAGGAAGTTCAATCCAACCTTTCTTTCATCAGCTTAAGGATTTCTCTACAATAAAAAATTGTGGAGCAACGGCAAACGAAAATACTTACGCCCTTCAAAACTACACTTGCAGGCTTCTTTGTATCGTAACATATACTATTTAGATAAGATTTCACCTATGACCTGTTTCTGACCAAAAAGATGAGTTTTTTGGAGAAAGGTTCCTAGATGACGAGTCCACCACATAAGCCATGAGTTTGCATCAATTAAAGCAGGGACAAAAGAAGCCCTTTCTTTTCAAGTTTTCCGATGTAACGCGAAATGGCTACGGAATATCTCCTGCAAAATGGAAACACTAAATTGACTTAGCTTGCAGATCTAAGTTTTAGCCTTCCAGATTAGAATGACTTCTCATCACAAAGTTTATCTTCGCAAATATTGCATTAAAACTACGGAACAGATACAGATAATAATAAATTGTTAAAAGCAGAACTAAAATGAAATTATTCAAACAAATTAAAATGCTTAAATATGAGTGAGAGTATACATTTAGAGCATAGAACCTTCACAGATGGCAAGAACTTAGATGAGGCCGTTTGAAGGAGAAAATATTATTATTAGGGTGAAGGAGAAGGATTTTGGCATCAGAAGTACCTGCGATGGCCTATGGCAATGTAGAATGATTAATGAACCAGCAATCATTAAGATATCCGTGCAATTAATGTAGGGAGAGATTAGAATATTATAAAAATCATCAACACTAAAGGCATGCACAATATATTGCTGGTTATGCTCGAAATATTTAAATTTATTTTATTTTTAAGAATATTCTTAGGCGTTAAGTAATTTTATGCCTGTACAAAAACAACTAATGTATTTGATAGGATAAGTTAATTAGATGATGAATAAGAATGAAATTATTCATGAAGTTGTGGGCTCCGAAAATTCGGCCTCGGCCTCCACTCGCTTTTCTTATTCGGCGAGGGAGTTTTCACGAACTAAGTTCCGAGGTAAATTTTGGAAGGCAGA